GAAGGAAGGAAGGAAGGAAGGAAGGAAGGAAGGAAGGAAGGAAGGAAGGAAGGCAGACTGTACCTGACATAAAGTTCAATGGTGGGGTCTGTCATGTACAGTGCCCTCCCTGATTCATTGCTCAGCAACATGCACAGAGCTAGGATAGAACTAATCTGGAATAGAAATGCCATTGTATCTCAGGTTTGAAAAGAAGGTAGATAATTCAATCACACAGATCTTGCCTTGTGGCCTTTCCTACTAAATCATAAAAAACCTGAAAGTTAAGGGTGATGTAAGGATAGGTGTGGATCTAAGTTTATAATTTAAATTTGATAACCCTGAAAGTAGAAATATAGCCTAGAACATTGGTAAAGTTCCGGTCTTTATATCTGTTGCTGTAATATTTATGCAGTGCCTAATAGGCTGTGCCTTTGCTGATCTAATTTAGAATAATTTCCATGGAAACTACACTCAACTTGTATGTTTATGTATATGGTAATGTTTTTGATGGTGGGTAAATTTTCAGTTTAACACAGCAGCTAGTATTTCAGTTCTTGAAACCTTGCTCAGTATATTTGTGTAGTATAAATTTTATAGCCATTAATGAATACATACAATTTTGTTTTAGTAGATGGAGGCTTACTCAGGTACCCAAATTTTTCACATTATGTATTATAAGGATGAAATTAGACCCTGTTTTATAGTTTGTGTTCCTAACTACTTGGTATGCTATGTAGTCAGTATCTTCTGCTTTTATATTGAAGAATGTGTACAGAAGAAATGATTTTATGGGATGGTGTGATTCTATAGTCCAACAAAAGTATATGAAATAGCATATACCTGATCATGCTTTCTAAAAGAGGTAGTCTCATTTAGTTCCTACTGGATTCTGATGGAGAGGACAGACATAGTGATGGGAAATACATGTTAACAGTAACCTGTGTATGATTGGAATAGTATGTAGTCTAACTATGGAAGCCAAGGCCTTGTACTGGTAGGTAAGTACTTTACCCATGGAACCAATGAACCTACTTATACAGAACAAAGATTTTATTTTATTTTTTTTGAATTGTGCCCCTAGCTGGCTGGCTATCTGCTTTATGAGTGCTAGGGTTACCACACCTGGTCACAACTAGGATTTTGATTATATCTTCTTGCCTTTGAAGTTCAGAGCTTCTGCCATCAATAGTAAACCCTTAGAACTGGCATCTACAAACTTAAATGAACTATCATTTTGATTTGGTAGTAATGGCCAAATTACTAGTTCAATGAAAGGATACTATTAGGCCCTTGAATATAATTTAATTGTAGAGTCGAAATATCAGGACTAGAGTTTAGGACTAAGATTTAAATCTTAAAAGATAAGACAAAGAGCCTACTTAGAAATTTATATGAGCTGTTTTCATATGGAAATAAGTTTAAATCTTTTTAAAAAATTATACATCCTAAAGGATTTTTTTTCTTCCCTTCAGGCTTCTAAATGCATATGATGAACATCAAACACTTCTAAAAGAACAGGATACTTTAAAAAGAAAAGCTGAAAATGGGTATGTAACTTCTTGATTAATCAGGAAAGGATACTTAAGAGAAAATATTTTAATATAAAAATGCCTTTTAAAATACATGCTTTTGAGTGTTATCTCAATATTGTGGAAATGTGTACTTTTTTATGGTTTGAAAAAAAAAATCAATGGTTTATCTCAGAAGCAAGTATCAAGGTCACTTTGAGCCTGCCACTCCCCAAGATCCAAAATCAGAGTTGGAATGCTATTAAGATAGTAGAGTTGGGCCAGGGAAACCCTTGTAGTTAGAATGATAGTTCAAGGCAATCTGGTGGCAGTCACAGTGTGGTTGTGTTGCTGTAGATAATTGGAAGTAATTTTGTGCTGTAAAGTTAGTTCATCTACAGCATAACTGCTTAGCTATATATGCTTACGCAGAAACATGAACATTGTGTAGACAGTCTGATTTTTATGTATTAAAATGTATATTACCATGCCTGACTTACAAGTCGTTTTTTAAACATCAGAGACAAAGGCAACGACAATAGGTTATAATCCAGACCTCAAGTCTGTTTGCCACTTCTGGCATAAAGACTGGAGCATGTGATTTTCCAGCAAAAGGTTACCCTCTATAAAGGAGTTCAAAAGAGGTTTCGTTATTTCAGAAGAATATGAAATCTAGTAAATGAAATTGCAGGCTACTGTTGTTGGTCCCTTGAGAAAGACAGGGATCAGTCCCTTCTATCAGTCAGCTAATCTAGGTATCAACTCATGAATATCAGTGGTATGTAAAGATCTTAGGATGGAGAAGTTTCAGAGATTGCTCCATAAAGAAAGGTGAACTGAGCTCAGGCTTCAGTCTGTTTACCAGTTTTTCTTTAGTGGCTATCAAATGACAGTGCCTTGCTCCCAAAAGATTGAAAACATGACTAAAGGAAATTTACATGCATTATGTAATTATCTAGCAAAGTTCATATGTGGGAATTTTGAGTTTCTATTTTTACCTTTCTATATATAGCTCAGAAGAACCAGAAGAAAAGAAAGCACACACAGAAGATATGTCATCAGCACAGATCATTGATGGGGATTTACAGGCAAATCAAGCTGCATATAATTACAGTGCCTGGTATCAGGTAAGTCTGTACCATTTATTCTTTGCAGTAGGTTCTATATTGTATATTTTCTTTTATGATTGAGTGCTATTTAATCAGTACCTATTATCTAATTTTCTATGTGGATCATAACAGATTCTAGTATGGTGACATGTTTGCTTTTACTTTTTCAGTACAATTATCAGAATCCTTGGAATTACGGACAGTATTATCCTCCACCTCCAACCTAATGGGAAAATGTGAATTTCAGATGGCTTATATGAGATATGTGGAATTATTTTTTTTGAAGGATGTAAACATAGCATAAGCTTGTATTTGATAATTTGTCTTCCCAGTTTCTGTGTAACATTTGTTTAGTTAATAGCAGGAAATGTCAATTAATAGTGTACCATAGAAACTTTCCTACCATTTTTAAAATTTACTTTTTATTGGAGAACTATTTTTTTTATTTTTATTTTTTATTTTATCTTATTTTTTTGCATTAAGTGGTCTAGAATTCTTTTGCAGTTCATGCAGGAGATTTGTAGCCTTAACTGTAGGGGAAAAAACTGACTGTAAATCATGTCAGTTAAAAAAGACTTGGGGAAAAAATAAATAAGGGCTGGTTATTGAGAATTTTGCCTCCTATAAAAACAATTGACTTTAACCTTAAACCCTAAGGTTGTCTATATGTTTCAGTTATACTGAGGAATTTGGCTCTTAACTCCAGGTTAGATGAACCGGAGCTCTGCCTTTGAATAGATTATAAGCCAGAAAGTATAATGTCGGCATCCTCTTAAGAAATGGAAATATCAGAATTTGTTTTAGGAGAGTTTGTGTATCTAGAATATTCATGTAAAACTTATGAGCAAGCTTTCATTTTGACCAAACAATCATTTTTGTAATAAAAATGAAGACTCATGCAGCAACTGTTTATGAATTCATTTGGGGGAGGAACACAAAATAGAGATTAGCATTTTCTTTAAAGTAAACTTTACTCTAAATTTATTACCTTCTAACCAGAAAATGTTTTAGTTGTTTTTGTTTTGTTTCAAGTTCTGTGCCTTTTAACTTTCACCATGAAGTATTATTTATTAACTGTCCATGGACAAAGCTAGCCACCTTGATTAGCAGTTCAACTCTTTGGATAAAGTCACTAGTTGTTACCTAATAGAATACAGAACACAGAATAAGTCAGTCAAGACAATCCATGACATTTTTATTGAGCTTTTAGTTTATGAGGTAAAAGGAAAAGCAGCTCTCCTGAATACTTTACACAGCTGTAGGAAAATATCTGAGACTTACAGGGAGTTACAGGGGATTACATTTCTCAAAAGTTGCGATCAAGTAAACAAGCTTTAAACGCTTTTAAGTTTTCCAGTTGACTCTTCCCTTACAATAGTAACAAGCTCTAATTAGGTTTTTATGTTTGCTGAAGTACTGGTTTCAGTCAATATCTACTAATTCCACTTCAAAAATGAGCTTGGTGTTTGGTGGAATTCTGTGGGAAATGGTCAAGGAAAATTTGAAAAGTGCCTCTCCCCCAACCACTAAACCATAGCATAATATTTGTGAAAGCAGATTATGTGTGTGGTGGAGACAAAATTAAAAGTTCTAGGGTAAGCCAGAGATTGTACCAGTAAATTTAAGAGGACAAGTTTTATTTGACTCAGGCTAGCTTGGGTTTCTTAAAAGTATACCTGATGATCAATACCTCACTAATGCTACCAAATAGCCAGTATCTTATGAAGGTCACACTGTATTCAAAACATGTATGTTGGTAGAACATGTAATCTACTGTGAATTAAAGGACAAGTTTAGGTGTGCTGTTGGTGCACAGCTTTAAATCCCAGCACTCAGAAGGCAGAGGATCTCTTGAATCTGAGGACAGCCTGGTCTGCACAAACTTTAAGAAACGTAAAGTGAGAAGGCTTTCTTCATGCAATCTTATGATTTTACATGAGATGAATTATTCAACATTTTGAATGAAGACTACAGCGAAGACTCAAGCCTCACTCCTTCTCACCTACAAATTACAGTATCAAAACTAATCTGGCCAACAAGAATGAAATCAACAAAAATGGCCTTCCCACTCTATTAGATCAATTTAGTCTAAATGGTCTAGAATCATTGCCTTTCTGCTTTTTGTAAATGTTGACAAACTGGGCCCTATCATAGAAATGCTGTAATCATTAATAAATGCTTATAACATTTGTCCTGTGGTCTCCTTGATTTTCCATTTCTAAGTTTCTGAATTCTCACTTAGCTAATTGAAACTACAACACAAAGAAGAGAGGAAAAACGTGCAGGACAAAGTCTGACTATTTTGCATTGACAAAAAATACCAGCCAGTCAGTGTCCTGTGTCTTATCCACACCAGGAAGACTATCTGGAAAGGAGTCTTGATTTGGTAGATTGCTTGCACAGCACTTTCCATGTCTGTGAGCACATACATATCGAATCCAAGAATTCAGGTTAAAAGGCTGGTGGCAAACGTGGGGTGGGGGAGGGTATGTGCTATAAAGGGAAAGGATACTTGGCCTCGGCCTGTCCTTTCTTTCCATAGGCCCATTCTGGTTCAATCTCCAGTCGAGCCTTTTCTCCTTTACTCATAGTCAAGAGCGCTTCATCCCACTAAATGCAAAATATAAGTTATGGCAGTTTTCAAAAAACATGCAATCACATAATGACAAATATACTTTTCTGGGAACTTGGAGAGGACCAGACTTTTAGTTCCCAGAACCCACATCAGATAGTTCCTCCTGAAGAACCCCCTTATTTTAACCTTTATGGATATTCATACACATAGCATATACAAAACAAATATTTGTGCGTTGTGTTTTGAGACAGGCCCTGGTTTGTCTATATAGACCTAGCTTGTACTCCCTAAAGATTCCACACAGCCTTTTTTCTTTTTCCCTTGTTGACTTGTCAGTCAAGCTACACCTTCAACTAAAACCTTAGACTTGATGTTTTGCATTGTTCTGAGTTCTACATAGGCGTCTTAGACATACAGAAAGCAGTATGTCATTTTTGGCTATATATCACCATTTGAATGAGGAACTACAATTTGAACAATAGGTAGTCTCTAATAAAAATTTGAGCAAATTTTTAACACAATTTCTAATTTCTTCAATACATTGTAATAATAGATAATCCTACTATCTAACATCCTTAAGATTTACTTGGTTACCATTTCCCATATGCTCGGGCAAACAAAAACATGCTATTTAGAAGAAATTCCTGTTTCTGCAAGTATTTCAGTCAAATAGATGTTTTCATTATATGTGACAATGACTAAAAAAGCTATGTAACATAAAAAGCCTAAGTGTGAAAGGCTGTTTTCTGACATAGTTCCTTCAACTTCTGGGGTTTGTAAATATTTTTTGTTTTTTCAGACAGGGTCTGTGTAGCCCTGGGTATGCTGGAACTTGGTATCTAGGAGGGACTCAGATCTATCGAGTGCTAGGTGTGAGCCAGAATGCCGGCCCAGGATTCCTTTATAGATGAGGAAACTGACACGTGGAAAACTTGTACAAGATCAGCCAGCAAGATTAGTATGATGTCTGTCTGACTTTAAAGATTATTTTTGTTGTATCAACAACCTTAATTCTTGGATTTTAAAAATGTTTTTGTGTTGTAGTATGAGTGAGAATGCTCCCTATAGAGTGATTTGGGTACACAGTCCCCAACTGATGACTGTTTGAAAGGATCAAGAAAGTATGACTAGGGGCTGAAGGAACGGCTCAATGGTTAAGAGCTCAGCTGACTGCTCTTCCACCACACGGCAGCTTACAGTTATCTGTAAATCCAGCTCCAGGACATTCAACACCCTCACACTGACATATGCAGGAAAAATACCAATGTACATAAGATAAAAAATCATTTTTAAAAGTGTGGCCTTGTTTGGAGGAGGTGTGTTGCCGGAGGTGGGCTCTGAAGTTTCAAAAGCCCATCTTATGCCCAGTTTCCTGTCTGGTACCTGCTGATCAGGATGTAAACTTCTCAGTGACTACTTCAGCACCCTGTCCTTATGCTCCTGTCTGAGGTTAATGAACTAAGCCTCTGAAACTATGCAAATCTGCATGTTATTAAGAGTTGTCTTGGTCATGGTGTTTCTTCATAGCTACAGAATACATTTAGAATCTAACCTAGGTAGGGCCTTTCATATGCTAGGCAAGTGATCATCACAAAGCTCCTCCCCTTCCCCACAATCCAAACTTTTTAAAGCCTTACACCACAAACAGCACATGTTTGGAATACCTATATACTCATTTGCCTTCTTTACTTACTCCTCTGATAACCTTGCCTACTCCAACTTTAAAACTTAAAGGCTTGGCATTTTTCTTCTTCTTTGAACCTGTAAAACAGATTTTCCTTTTAATTACATACTTTTGTTTTAATTACCTTCTAAACTGCAATATTAGGTACTTAAGAATTATACAGTCAAGTTACAGAAGTATTCATAAAACGTTTGAAATGTTTTGTGCTGCATACATGTATAGATCCATACATATACGTATATCACTACCTATAGCTGCATGTAACCTCAAGGCAAGCACACCAAAGCCAAGGATCAGGACCACTAAATAACATGCTCTACTGCCTTCTTTCTTCCATTGAGATAGAATCTCACTGTGTAGCTGGCATAGAACTTACGACTTAGACACTCAACTTTTGTCTCCAGAGTGCTGGGATTAAGGGCATGAACACCTGACTCATTTTTATTTTCTCTTTTACATTAAAATCTTAAAGCATTCCGAAACACTGTTCGGTGTGTTGTTTTTCCTTACTAACTTGATACTGAGGCTTGGTCCCCAATGTCATCACTATGTTGAGAGTTTGGGGGAACCTTTAAGAAGTGATTATATGCATAATATTAATGCTTTTTTTTTTTCATAGGAACAAGTTCCTTCTGTGGGGTTGAGTAGTTAACTGAAGAGTAAACTCTTACCAAGCAGGCAGAGCACTGACCTCCCTCAATCCTCAATCCTGACCACACAAGTACTAAGGAGTAGAAAGGATACCACTTCCACTCTGTTCTTGGAGCGCCACAACTGACAGACCAAATCTCTAACAATTAATTTCAAGAGATCTAAAACAGACAAAGCTTTCAAGTTCCTTATCCTTTGCTCGACAAATAATCAAGATTAGCTAGCCAGCAACCCATGAATAGTAAAATACTGCCAAGAAAATCTTGGTACAAATGACATCAGGGAAAAGTAAAAGCAAAAAGAATACCATCCATCTACTGCACAAAAGTTAACACTTACTTGTTTGAATATTAGTATCAAAAACAGTTCCATCAGGGAGGGTCCCTGTATACCAGCAGTGAACAACATCTCCCTTTTTAGGAAAGTTGGTTTTATCTCCCTTTTTTAGAATAGATTTTGTATATTTTGGTGGACCCTAAAAATAAATGCATATAGTTATTTATGTGCTTTTAAAAAGATGACAGAAATATTATTTAAGTCAGATCAGAGTGATAAACTACCAGTAGCTAACATCTATAAGAAACTTCCAACACAACAAATGAGAATACTATTCAAAACACAAGGCCATAATTGAATGTTATGTAACTTAGAGCATCTTTGGAAACTAAAATTCTTAAGGCACAACTATGTTCATCTTTCCATACCATAAATTCTCAGAAAAATACTACTAAATTCCTAAGGTATTATGATACACCCCCCCACACTCACACACTAATTTGAGTTGTACTAGCACCAATAATTCTATTACTAGATTTTTTTTCATCCTAGCCAATAAAACTGAATAGTTATACTGCCTCCATCCACAACCTGAATATGACTCCAAAAGACTCTTAGATGGACCCAGGAATGGTGACACACATGTTTAATCCTAGCACTCAAAAAGCCAGACAGCAGATCTGTGAACTGAAGGCCAGCCTAATATACACATTGAGTTCCAGCCAGTCAGTTACAAGATGAAATATATAAAAGAAATACATATTGTGAGTCAAATGAATACTCATGAGAGCAATAAATTACATTCAGATTTTTAAAATACTGTCTTGTGACTTTGGCCAAGAATTAATCAACTTCAGTCGGGCAGTGGTGGCACACGTCTTTAATCCCAGTACTTGGGAGGCAGAGGCAGGAGGATTTCTGAGTTCGAGGCCAGCCTGGTCTACAGAGTGAGTTCCAGGACAGCCAGGGCTACACAGAGAAACCCTGTCTCGAAAAAAAAAAAAAAAGAATTAGCCGACTTAACGTGAATTTAGAGCAGGCCTAACGAATTCTTTCTGCTCGCTTCTTCACTGTTTTTCCTTTGTTGTTCCAAAGTACAAGCATAGAAATAACAGAGATGAGTGCAGGGTCAGTAAGGGAGAGAGCTAGAAAGGAGAGAATGTAGTTTTGAGTTCAATGTTCCCAACTTAATAACAGAAAACAAGAGCCTGCTCGCTCTTTCTTTCTTTCTTTGCTTCTTTCTTTCTTTCCTTCTTTCTTTCTTTCTTTCTTTCTTTCCTTCCTTCTTTCTTTCTTTCTTTCTTTCTTTCTTTCTTCCTTTCTTTCTTTCTTTCTTTCTTTCTTTGAGTCTTATTTCTATACAGGAGAAATAAAAGGAGAATTAAGTATTTAAGTATTCATAGAGCTAAGTGTCAAAGCTACAGTCTCAAAAATTATCCTTTAAATATCCTTTGAATTGCTTCTGGCTCTTAAGAAATTGTGTTTTTACTAGAAAAAAAATCTTTCTATACAAATTTCAGGGGACCAAGGTATGACTTCATAGCCTTTGCTACCTTGGTACTTACTATAGAGACCAGGCTGGCCTTGAAGTCACAGAGATCTGCCTTCCTCTGCCTCCTGAGTGCTGGAATTAAAAATATGTACCACCACCCTTTTTCTTAATTCTGTCTTAAATTCATCCAAATTGCTTTATGTCTACATACCTACACACATTAATTTGTGCTTTCTTACCAATAGGAAAAAAATTCTATGAAGTTTGCAGGCTTTATTCACATAACTATGTGACTTCACCACACCTTAACTTACACTCTGTGAAAACATACCCAAATGCCTTAAAAGTTGATACTGCTTACAATGAATGAGCTTACAGCTGGACTTATAATTCTTGTACTGGCTGAGGCACAAAAATGAAGAGTTTGAAACCAACCTAGACTACAAAGTAAAACTATATCTCACCAACAAACAAACCCCCCAAAAGTTTATCTAATTCTTTAAACTTTATACAAAAAAACATAAAACTTGGGCTGGGAAAGATTAGGCATGAACTCATACCTTGAAACCAGGCATGGACTGTTTCCATAGCTAGGTACACTATGTTCATTAGAAAGGCTAAAAATAACTTAAAGGAAATTTCTTTAATTCAGCCTGACTTGGCTACAAAATCAGGTTCTTAAAATAGAAGGCCTTGGAGCTCTAGCCAGAAGCTTACTATCTCTTTGTTTTATTTCTTTGCTAAGAATAGGGAGTCACTAAAGTCCAAATCACAGCTCAGTTCTAAAGAAGAGGCTGCATTCAACCATGCCTTAGTTTAGAGATTTAAAGCAAATGTTAGGTGGGCTTGGGGGTGGGGGTTATCAGGCTTTTAATGCCTGCTAGTCAGGTGATGGAGGCCAGCCTGTACAACTTAGTGAATCCCTTCTCAAAACTGAAACAAGTACTTGTGATTAGTTCAATGCACTTGTCTACCATTCAGAGGTCCTAGGTTCAATCCCTAGTACTATATAAAGAAGAAAAGAAGAGAAAGGTAAGATATATTATATACACACACCTCATCAAGCGTCTCTTCAGACTTGGATTCTTTGGGTTTATCGTCATTAAGCTTCACGTTTTTCACCTGTTCAGACACTTTACTGATAGTTTCAGTACCTTTGAAACGCTATAAAAAAAAACCGTAAGATGAGTACCGACGATAACTAGGAAGAGTATCTAGAGTTCCCTTTCAGGAAATGAGCATCTGCACAATAAAAGCACACTATCTATCAATTAGTAGAACAAAAGTCAACTAACCAAGGGGATCGACTACAGACAAAGATATTGCTGATTTAAATATAAAGTTAATAAATCATGACCCTTAAACTACTGCATGATATGAATTCTAAAACAAGCATCATGACCTTCAGACAAGCAACTCAGAATAGAGATGTGTACACTCATAGCTCCTGCTATACAAATTCTTTCTTGTAGATGATCACTTTATAGTGAACAAATATTAAAAATGTTTTAAAATCTGTTCTCTTTCTCCTTTCTTTCCTTCTTCTCAAAAAGATTTATTTTATTTATGTGAGTACACTGTTGCTCTCTTCAGACACACCAGAAGAGGGCATCAGATCCCATTACTGATGGTTGTGAGCCACCATGTGGTTGCTGGGAGTTGAACTCAGGACCTCTGGAAGAGCAGTCAGTGCTTTTAACCAATGAGTCATCTTTCCAGTCCCCAAAATCTGTTTTTCTTAAAGGCTTATCTAAACCAGTAACTACAACATGTTATAACAGTGTAGATAATGCCAACTAACTTAATGGATTTATGACTTAAAAATTTGTTTTCTCGCTGGGGAAGTGGTGGCACACGCCTTTAATCCCAGCACTTGGGAGGCAGAGGCAGGTGGATTTCTGAGGTTGAGGCCAGCCTGGTCTTCAGAGTGAGTTCCAGGACAGCCAGGCTTACACAGAGAAACCCTGCCTCGAAAAACAAAAACAAAAAAAATTGTTGTCTCAATTTAGGCAACAAATTAAAACTAGTTCCTTTAAAAATACTGTAAACACTGAACTATGTTTTAAATTAGCTTTGCTTTATATGACTGAAAGCCCAATTATGATCATAGCTAAGAAAAACTACAGGTGGAAAAACCCCAACTTATTCTTCAAAAAGAAAACTGTACTTAAAATCTGTGTGTAGAAATAAGATACCTGAGTGAAATTTTCTTAGTAGGATATTGTCGCTTACCTTAGTTTCAAACAGATGGTTATAGGCAGAAACCAAATGGTCCTTATTAGCAGTCTTAGCTACGTTTTTTATGTTTCCCAGTAATTTATGCTCTGCAAGAAACTACAAAGGAAAAAGCTGATGAGTTCAATCATTTTCCCTCAAGTAGAGAGGATGTAAAGTTAGAAACGGAGTCTGTAGCGGAGTCTGTAGCTTAGTCTGTGTGCTGGACTGATACACACAAACCACACACCACAGAAACTGCATTTGCACACCTAAAATCCCAGCACTGACTGAGAGGCATCAAGGCCATACTAGGTATACAGTAAATTCACGACTAAACTAGGCTGAGATACACGAGGCCCTGTCTTAAGAAAAGAAAGAAAATGGAGCCTGCTATTATTATAGTCTGAGGCAGGAGGATCCCTTGAGATCACAAATTCAAGACCAGTCTGGTCAGATAGTAAGACCCTGTCTCAAAACCAAGAAACTAAGAAACAATCTTTTTGTGCTAGCTGCTATGATTTTTAATAGTAGTAATTGAGAAATAAAACACTATTTTATATCTCATTCTTAAAAAGCAGATTATAAAATATCGGGTATTAAAGGGGAAGAACTATATAGTATATATAGGAGACAGTTCATTTTAACCTTTCTCCCATTATGGAATATACAGAAAAGATTATCTAGATATTAAGCATACTATAAGCTCTTGATAGATCGCTTTTTGCCTTGCCTTTGGAAGCCTCAAGCCATGGCTACCTCAAGCCATGGGAATGGCTACCGGGACCTATTTACAACTCACTATCTGGTAAGGACAGGGTATGGGTTATGGCATCATATTATCTGGACTAAAATCTTAGCTCTCACCCTAGTCTGAAGACAAAGCTTTTCAAAAGACTTGTGTTTAGGCCTAGAGGATAGTCTGGTGACCTGAGTTCAATCCATGAGTCCTGAACTGTAGGAGAGAACAGGCTCCTGCAAGCTTGCTGAGCCCTTCCCCACATACACACAAAGTAAAGTTAAAAAGACCCAGGTTCTCTATACTACAAGATTAGTAGGAGCATGTGTATCCAGAGTGATGACAGAAAGTTGAGGTGGAGCAGTGGAACAGTCTATCACATTAAGAGTCTAATAAACCTGAATTTGAACCCCAGAACCCACACCCAGAAAACTGATTCTTACAAACTGTCCTCTGAACTCTGCAAGTGTCATGGCTCACATGCTCACACGCATTAATCCAATATATAAGTAAATGTAAAATAACAAAGCATCTTTGAGACTGAGCCAGGATGGGGAGTTCTGAACCATCTTTATGCTTACAGCAAGACTGTCTCAAAAAGAAAAAAAATCAAGCAACAAAAATTAAAAAACAAATCAATAATAAATTCATAGTATGTTCATCTTAAAATCTGGTGAGGGTTTTTAAAACGCCCTTGTATGTTTGTGGTGCTTATGGACACACAAAAAGCATGCATGGTATGTTGAAGTCAAAATTCCCTATGTGGAGGGCCTTGTTTTCCGCCTTGAGATAAGTTCTCTCTTACATACTAGCTGGCCTGCCTAAGAGCTTCCAAGGATTCTCTAGTCTTTTTAATTATAAGCGCATACTCCCTCCTACAGCTCCAGAGTGGTTCTGGGCATCAGAACTCATAACATCATACCCAAGAGCCATTTCTACAGCCCTTTACTCTAGTCTCCTTCTGTTACTGTATTTGTTGAAGTTCCGAACCTCCAATTTTCCTATTTTCTCAAGCTGTCTCCTGCACCTAAGAGTTCTGTAAACTACTTTTTGTTTTTGTCCCCACTGCATTTGTCTGTCTTTGCCTTTTCTCTCCTTCCCCTCTCAATATGTGACCCAGGGCAGCCTAGTATGTACTGTGTAGTCCAGGCTGACTTGGAACTCAAGTCAGATCTACCTGCCTCTGGGATTAAACGTATGCTCCACCATGATCTCTACTCCTATAAAAAAATTTTTAGATGATAAAAGGCTGGTGAAAGGAGATAAAAGTTGGTTATATAGAGGTAACCAGTTACTGTCGCACTCTTGTCATTTCTTTGAAGAGTTCAGAAAAGTATCTAAAATACAATATCTAATATTTTATGATTAACAAAAATAATGACAAATCATTACAAAACTGGTCTATGTTCCAAGTCAGGTCAGTGGAGCCTACGAGTCTAGAAGGAAGAAAATTAAAAACTTTACAGTCTAAATTGGGATAAATAAGCTGTTTAAAGACAGCTTAAAGAAGTACAGTAAGAAGGCTCGCCTGGACTACAGAGTGAGTTCCAGGACAGCCCGGGCTACACAGAGAAACCCTATGTCAAAAAGAAAACAAAAAAAAAAACCAAACAAACAAAAAAAAGAAGTACAATAAGTACTGAGGTATTAAATGCCTAACCCCACTACTGAGAAATCATAATGCCTCAAGAGAATATCCATTAAAATGGCATGTGGGTCTATCTGCAAAGGTGTCTTTTCCTTTTCACCCTTGTATAGTCGCTCAAACACAGTTGTTGAGCTGAATACACATACTTCATAAAGATGAGCTGAACCATAGCCTGATGCCAGGGTAAGTGTGAGAGTTCTTGAATCTCCCAACAAGATCTTTAAGTGAAAATACAATCTTGGTTTCAAAAAAAAAAAAAAAATCCAAAACTTTTTAAACTGAAATGGCAGGACTGTAAAAACACAGGCATGAATATGTGACGATCACTGGGGGAAAAACGCATTTAAATGTCTGTCACTAAATGCATTTTCATACTTTGGAATCACACAACACTCACTATCTTGACATTTTAGAATCTGAAAAACTGTAGGAAAACCTAATTTAGGCCGCACCTTCTCTTTTAAAATGGTAGAGATATGCACGACGTGTGCCACCATTCAACATTTAACTGAGGTACGAAACATGATGTGATGGCGCAGGGCTATTATCCCTAGCATTTGCGAGGTGAAGGTAAGGCCATCGGGGTTTGAGGCCAGGCTGGGCTCTTTGAGATGTTGCCTCCAAAAAACATTAAGGGAGTCGCTGGGTGGGCGGAATGAATGACCTTTTCTGAAGGACAAAAAGTCAAGGCTAACTAAATAACCCGTGACTACAAAATGGGTGGCTAAGATGCAGACAAGGCCGAAAACTGCATGACACAACTAGAATTTTTCAAATCCGCGTGCCTATAATCATAGAAGACCACAGTGTAAAAAAAAAAATTCACGTTGAATTCCTCCTAAGTATAAAGGTATTTTGTAAAACGATTTCCTAACAGAAAGAGTTAAGGCAGTAATATATGTTTTTTTTTTAAAAAAAAAACACAGATTATAGTTCGGTATTTAGTACGTTGGTAAGACAAGATGCACACGAAGCTCCCACACATCACTCCCTCCCATTTCCCACAGGCCAGCACTCTGCGCCCGGGAAGCATGCACTCCCGATTCCTCGCCCCCGCCTCAGACGCCAACATTTCAGGTTCCTTTTGCTCAGGTCTTCGGCCCTCACAGATCTCAACTGAGATTTAAATCTACAGCCGCAGCTCCTTGGCCTGCCCTAGGGAAACCAGGGCTGAACCCCGTGGACTCTGGGGCGGCCCAAGAGGCGGGCGAGTGGGAGCTCACGCGGGCCGCTCGGGCCTGACCAGCACCGGCCTCAGAAGGCGAGGGCGGGGGCACCGAGGAATCCGGTATGTAAGGCATCTCCGGGGGGGTGAAGCGGCCCCGGGACGCCCCGGCCCGGCCGCCCAGATGCCTTTGGTACCGAATCTGAACCGTGATCCTGCAGAAACTTGATAATGTCCTTCTTGGGCAGCTGCTCGCTGCGCAGCTGCTCCACGGTCCAAGCACGCTGCGGAACAGCCGCCGCCATCTTCCCCCGCTGCTGCCGCTGCACTGAGCCAGCCCGCCTCAGTCCGGAGCTGCCCCGCCCTCAGGGCGTGGCCCGGTCTTACGCCACGCTCTAGGGGCGGGGCCTCCGCCTTTCTACGGAGCCCCGCCCCTGAAGCGTGGTCTGGGCATGCGCTACGCTGTAGGGGGCGGGGCTTCTGCTAAGCTGAGCCTGGGAGCTTCTTCAGTCCACTCTACGTCGCCATGGGGTCTGCCGGAAACTCAGGGGCGGGGCGGCCGTGGGCCTAAAGCGGATTGAGACGTTGCTAGGGCGATGTAAAGGCTGGGCTGTGAGGATCTTGTTGAGTAGAATGAAAATATGAGGAGGCTGCTTTGCCAGCTGAATGCAGAGATGATGATGTGAAATTTTATTCTGACGCTTTCTGAGGCGTTCTTTGGGCAGTCATCACCCCTTGCTTGCCTATATCCCACATACTTGTTTATTATTTACGGCCTACTGTGTCTTTAAAAGTACACCGTTTAAAGAAAATAACAGCATTCCGGTTTTCCATCTCATTTTATCTAGTTCCACTCTAATCTTATCTGAATTGGCTTAGTCCTTGCCCATCCAAACACTTTGCGCAAAGCTAAATGCAAACCTCCCCCGACAGAGCTTTGCTTACAAATTTAGAAACTTGAATAAAACAATGTGATTAAGCTGCACTTGAAATACCTCTTTCTGACAGTGAGGGTGGCATGCAGCAGGAGTTACGTGTGTTTGTACTGTGTTTCAGTAACTGAAGGAATATTTACCTAAGTTGTACTGGTACCCAAGTCTGAAAGCAGAAAGCTATGACTAACAGAACTGCGCAAAAACGCTTACTGCTCTAAATCTGTATTATGTGAGAGTTAAGATACGAAGTGTATGCTTGTAGTACTTAGAGCCTGTGCCCCTTATAAGCTGAGGCAGGACATGGGCCAGTTCAAGATCATTTTGGTCTACATGCTGAGTTCCAGGCCAGAGGGGGCCTCCGAGCAAGATCCTATGTGAAACAAAAACATACGAAGGAAATCAGAAAAATAAATCCCATGACAAAAATTTATTTGTTTTAGTTTCTCAGTGGATACAGGGCCAGAGCACATTCCTAACTGCCATTTGTAGCACAAGACTGCATTTTCTCAGCATAAATGGAAAAAAAAGTATTAATTATTTAATTCTACCTTACTTTTGCCTTTACTCTCATCTTCAGGTTTAAATATTCAATCATTTTACCGTCACAAATGATGAGTGAATGCTTGCCCTGGGATCACAAAGTTATGTGTCTTTTAACATCGTATGTAGTATCCCGTTAGCAATGACACCTCATTTGAAGCAAAGCAAAAACTACCTTCTATTTACTTATGTTACTCTTGACCTGGAAACTCTGGTAGCCAAGGATGACCTTGACCTCCTGATTCTCCAGACGACACCTCAGGGCAGAACCACCACGCCTGGTTTAAGATTGCATTTAAACCCGTTCAGCAGAGGAAAGAGTAGCAAAACCAAACCAAAACTTGCAAAGACTCTAAATCCAGACACCCGTCTCCCCACCCACTTCGCGCAACACGCATGCGTGTCAGCTGGTTTCCGGAATGACAACCAATCATCTTCCCGCCGCAAGGTCGGCGGCGGGTTCTTCAACCCGTCGGGCTGCGGCCAGTCCCGCCCCCGTGTTCCACTGTGTCGCCGGCGGGAGACTAATGGGCTTCCGAGCCGCGGCGGTTGTGCTGCCATCCGGGCGGGTTCCTCAGCGGAGCCTCGCTGCTGGAAGGCACGATGAGCGGACGGCAGAAAACGCTCTTCCAGACGTGGGGCCCGAGTCTCGTGCGTGGCGCCGGCGCTCCGGGCTGCGGCCAGCCGCGCTCGCCCGCGGTGGCGGAGGCGCTGTCGGAGGAGGACGACGAGGTGCTGCTGGTGGCGGCGTACGAGGCTGAGCGGCAGCTGGATCTCGGGGATGGCGGCTTCTGCGCGGCTGCGGGCGCCCTGTGGATCTATCCCACCAATTGCCCGGTGCGCGACTACCAGCTGGACATCTCCCGGACCGCTCTGTTCTGCAACACCCTGGTGTGCCTGCCCACCGGGCTGGGGAAGACCTTTATTGCAGCCGTGGTCATGTATAATTTCTACCGCTGGTTCCCTTCTGGCAAGGTAGTTTTCATGGCACCCACGAAGCCCCTGGTGACACAGCAGATGGAAGCCTGCTTCCACGTGATGGGTATTCCACAGTCTCACATGGCAGAAATGACAGGTATCTGAGAAAAACTAGACGCCAGGGGAAAGGCCTGCTCTTGTGGCAGTAACTATGCGGGCAGAATTCCCCGATGCAAATGTGTTCCTCTTACATTCTTTCCCATAAGACATCGTCTGACGGTAGCAAAGCCCCAGTCTGATGCATAGACTTTCTCTAGTTACCTTCAGAGGTATCTTGTAAATTGCCAGTGTTTTGAAACATTTTTGTTTGGGAGCGGGAATGCTGAACATATTTCTTGGCATCCTTACCAAGAAGAATTTCCCTGTTGAAGAATTTGCTTCTCTTCAGATCTTACATTCTTCTGTAGGAATTATCTAAAGACGTTGTAGTTGCAGTCCTAGGTAACTGTCGGCTTTGACTCTTGGATTGCATCAGAGCTCCAAGGTGTAACATTACGGTTTGTCCAATTGTTCTTCCTTTAAGTAGAGTAGCAGAGCCTGAATATATTCAGAAAGTAGGCCAGACTATTTATTTACGGTCTATAGATGATGGTATGAAGTTTCTGATTGTTCACTGCCCTGCTATTGTTTCTTCTGTATTGAGACCAGAGTCTTGGCTGTATGCTTTGGCTGGCCTGGAACTCCATACGTAGAACAAGCTAGCTTTGAACTTTCAGTTGTCCTACCTCAAGATCCAGAGTCCTGGGGTTCCTGGAACTGCCACCACACCCTGCCCCACTGTCACTTTTATTCACAGGTTCAACTCAAGCAGTCAACAGGAAGGAGATCTGGTCCAGCAGGAGGGTTCTTTTTCTTACACCTCAGGTCATGGTAAATGACCTGACTAGAGGGGCTGTTCCTGCTGCCCACGTAAAGTGTCTGGTGGTTGATGAAGCTCACAAGGCTCTTGGGAATTACGCTTACTGCCAGGTAATCATTTTGTCAAATGCTGTTTTGTTAAGGATGTATGTATTGTTAAGGGGCATTTGGGGGGAATAAGTCTCAGTGTTGGGAAATATTGCTAGTGTGATTATAAGTGCCTTGCATTCACTCTGTCAGGACAGGAGGGATGGGAAAGCCACTCCCTCGTCCATTCAGATCTGTGTTTGCTGCTTTTTTTCCTTTTCTTTTCCTTTCCTCTGTCTTGCTTTCTCTCTTCCTTTCTCTTTCTTCCTTCCTTCCTTCCTTCCTTCCTTCCTTCCTTCCTTCCTTCCTTCCTTTCTTTCTCCTTTTTCTTTTGTGAGACAGCATCTCTCTATGTAGCTTTGCTGGCCTGGAATCCACTATGTAGACCAGGCTGTCCTCCAACTCCCAGAGCTCTGCAGGCCTCTAACATTTATTTTTTTTTAATATTGTTTTTATTTACTTTTAGCATGTGAGTAGGCGGGTCTGTGCACCTGTCACCAAAGGTAACTTCAGAGTCCAGAATAGGTTGTAGACCTAGAGTTCCAGGTGGCCAACATGGGAGTTGGGACAGAACTCAGGCAAGAGCAGTATACACCCTTAACTGCTGGGCTGTCTCTGAAGCCAAAGTAGCTTTTTAAATGTGTCCAGCTTGAAAGTGTCTGTGGTACTGTTACTGCCTAGAGAGGGTCTCCCTGCGAGTCCAGGTTGGCCTCTGATCTGGAATATGCTCTTGACTCGGCTTCTAGCATTACAGGTGTATCGTAGCCAGTGACTAGGTAGGTAATAAAGAGGACAGAGCTCGTTGGAATTTTGAACTCTGAGTACAGGCTTGTATAGCTACTGTGTAGTATAGAAAACAGACAGATGCTAAAGCTGGCCATCTTACCACAAGTGCTGGTACTAGGACAGAGGATACAGGGTAGGAATACAAGAGAAAGAAGAAAAGTCAGAGACATGATTTTACTGCCAGCTTATGAGTTTGTAGTTTCTATGGAGATAAGACATACTGTTACTGTATTGCTCTGTATTATCCTAGGGAAAATTATTACTTATTTATTTTTATTTTAGTTTTTCAACATAGGGTTTCTCTATATAGCTCTGGCTGTCCTGGAACTCACTTTGTAGACTAGGCTAGCCTTGACCTCAGAGATCTGCCTGACTAAAGGCATGCACCTGTGCCCAGTAAGAATTAAATTTCTTACCATTATCATTTTAGCTGTATCTAGGGAATATATTTATTTCATTTTTTTTATCTTTATAGATTAGTACAGATTACATTGAAATTTACAGGCCAGGATTAAAGGCACCTGGCTGACCTTAATCTCTCGGCAGTCCTTCTCCCTCAGTCTTCCAAGCACTGGCAGTACAGCTGTGAGCAACCCACCAGCTCCCTTCCCGTGTATGACAGTTCAGCAGACATACTGGGTGGATGTAGCACAGAAGGTTACTTCATTGTCTGAACGAACGCTTTGAATCCCGGTTCTCATAGAGCAGTTTCTTTTTCTTGAAGTACTAGGGATGACACTCAGGCCTCAGCATACTGCATAGACAGCCTACTACTGAACTTCATCCCCACCCCCAATAACTTTTATTTACTTTTTTTTTGTTATTATTTGCTTGCTTAGAGACAAGGTCTTGCTTATGTGGTCCAGGGTATCCTTGAACTTGCTGTAATCCTAAGATTCCTGAGATCGAAGGCTGCAGGCTCCTACCGCATTCATCCTAAAAAGGAGTTCTTTAAAGCACCAATCCAAAAAGTGGTCTTTTTACACCAGTGGCTCTCAACCCCTTTGGGTTCGAGAACCCTTTGGGGTAGTTGAATGACCTTTTCATAGGGGTTGCATATCAGATATTTACGTCATGAAGTAGCAACAGGGATTTTGTGGTGGGTTATCACTGTAACATGTATTAAAGGGTTGCCGCACTGGTGAGGTTGAGA